ATGTGTATTTACATATGTATGTTTTGTTTATTTATATAAATATCCAAACAAAATTTTAATTATATTTACAGAACTTTCCACAAGGTCGGTCCCCTTAAAGTAAACTCAACTCAAATTAAACTTCTTCATTTTTTCGTTTACATATTTAATGAAATGCTAGAAAGTTTCATTATCAACTATTTGACAGTAAATGAATTCAGGTAAACACATGCTCAAATGCAAGTCCTGGGCATTTTGATGGGTTAAAAGTGAACTAATTTGCATAGACCGCACGGAACAATGCGCAGGCGGCTGCATGAGGAGGTAACAAAAAGATTCATTAGGGCCAATCAGTGCAAAGCGCGTCAGGCCGAGGGGTAGCAGGTGCTAAAGGGTAAGAGCAAAGCGAAGGGGACGGCCCGAGAGGGAAGGCAATATTGTTCCACGAGTCGACCGAGTCCTCTCTCTATGTGTGTGTATGGGTGTGTATGTGTGTGTAAACAGTTTTGTTGTTTGCCTTCTAAATACGCACGTTCTACTTTAAACAAAGCGAAGCGGACGCTTACACACACACACACACACACACACACACGCATGCATGCTGCTCTGTTGTAAACAACATGCATGTAGGTATATATGCATGTGTCTGTATATGTGTGTGTGGCTGCATGTGTGTGCAAAACAAATTTAAACTTTACGCCCAAAGTTTATTTTTATGAGCAAAACTTTAAATAATGAAATTATCTGACAAGAACTTGAAGATGGGCAAAGCATTACACAAAGAGAGATGAGAGCGAGATTGAGACGAGAGAGGCAAAGAGAGCGAGAGAGATGCAGAGCTGTAGAGGGAGAGTTGCAAAAAAATGAACAGAACCAGAGCATAAGAAGTAAGTGTGTGTGTGTGCTTGAGATCTTAGTCTCTCTCATACACACACTCACACACACACATATACACAGATAAGAGAAAGCGCTTATCCGTTTTTGTTGCCTTCATCAACCAATCAATGGACGTAATTTATGCCGTTATTTGGCCCAAACTTCGTTTCGTACCTTCTCGTTTGTGTTATCAAATATTTATTTACACTTGAGCTATAATAATTCATTGATGCATTGAATGCCAGGCACAGGCTCGCACCCATACACACGCACATGCACACACACGCACACACGCTGGGTAATCGGTCTCGGGCACGACCCGGCAACGTAAACGTCAGGACTAACCTTTGCCCGTTGTCCTTCAATGGCGCCGTCGCTGTGAAAGCAACAGCTGTGCGCGTTCTCTTTACTCTCACTCTCTCGCGTAAACTTGCTCTATCTCTCTGTGTTTTTCGCTCTCTCAATACATATTCGTGTGCGTTCCATAAAGCTTTTCGGCAATTGCCAAGCAGACTTCCAGTTTCGAATTCGTTGGTTGGACAAAGCTTCGTTATCAAAGCTTCTGAAATAATAGAGAGGCTCGTGCAGGTATTGTCCAATTGACGAGGGCTGCATAGTAAGTTGGCTATATTTCATTTGGATGCATTTTATTTGATCATTTCTTTATTTTTGGCAAATTTTAAAATATACATATGTATATAAATAAAATACATATA